TTCACCTCGGCTCGCTCTAGAAGTCGTCGCTCTAGAAGTCGAGATAGCTTCAAGGTTCCAACGCTGGTGTCCGGTTCTGCGTGCTCCCGGTGAAATGCATTCAGGCGGCAGCTGCGCTCTTCATATCTTTCGCGGTGTTGGTCTGCATGACCGCAGTGATAACCCTTGGTTGGGAACTCATTCTTCCTTTTGAACTTACAAGCGACTTGAGAATGTATGCTGCGAAGGGTCGTGGTCGCAACCGTTGAGAATGCCATAAGTTGGTTGAGATAGATCGAGCTTTGCTTGAGCTCGCCAGCCTCAATTGCCATGCTCGATTGAAGCCAGCCCTGTGATCAGGTTCAAGGATGATAACAGCAGGTCATGCATTCCGAGCATCTGTTCTGGCCCCGTTGATACTCACGGCTGCGATCGCAAACAAAATGACGCGTTGGATCACAAACGCCATCCACTGTGCCGCCTGCATTTTGGCTTGAGGGGAATGGCCCGCTGACCCTCCCAGCCCTTGGGCAATCGCTATTGGGTATACATTGACGCACGTTCAAAGCACTGAGACTTAAGCACCCCATTTTGTGTCACGGTGTTCCAGGGAATGATTTCAATGGAACCTCACACCCCAAGCCTTTTGGGTAGACAGCTAAGCCAGACTTCCTGCCTGCACGCGTGGCTGGTCGTTGCAGGGGGTGCCTGGGAGGTTTGTTCCAGAACATGATATCGGAACCGATTGTCTGACTAAGTACACTCCCTCTGGGTGAGCAGCGACTGACGTTGGGCTGTGCTTCATCTGCAGGACAAGCTGTTCAACTTGCCATTCCCGGTAGATTTGAGGGTGCCGGGGTTCTCTATTTGCAATACAGGGATCTAGGCACAGAGCCGCGATCTTGACACAATTGGGTCCCGACCCCAATGGACGCAACTCTCCTCCAACCATACATCAGTTGGGACAAGGTTCAAGAAAGCACGCTGCTGTCGGCCATGGCGTAGCCAAGGCTGCAATCGGTGCATCCTCGGCCCTGATAGCCTGGGACCAGCCAGCTGTGGATTTGAGGTTTTGGGCTGACAATGAACTATGACTTTCCTTCAATGCTTGGGCGACGATAAATGCTATAGGTCTTTCCGGATCATAGCCAGCCATCAGCGCTAACTTCGACATACTGCCATGTTGAGGTTTGCAAATCACAAGGCAGAATAGGCTCCCGTAGCCTCATCCCGTCTGAATCCGTCCAATTTGCCGGCTGCGCACATGGCCTGGCCCTCCGCCACTTCGGGAAGCCGTCCCCCGGGGCACGCAGCCTCGCGCAAGGCAAGGGCAGGCTTTGGAGTTGGAGATCTCGGGCATGCGAGGTTTGGGGCTGCCTGTTGGGGAGGACGCACCAAAGCTTCTCTGAAGGCCTCGGCTGAGAGGTGGCAAAATTTGGCTATTTGGTTCATGACTTCATCCCTTGAACCTGCATGCCCGCTAGAGCATCTCGGCCGGTTTTGAAGCCCTCATCCCTGCGTTCGCCGCCTCGCTTGGGCAGTGCCAGGTGTGGCTTATGTTGCCCGTCTCCACC